TTATAATTTTTAAAAGTTTTTAATTTTTAGTTTTGATTTTTAAACATTTATATAATATAAATCTCTTCAAAGTATAGGTCATTGTTAACTATGATCTTTTCCTAACCTTTTCGCAACGAATGGATTTCACGCCAAAACAACTGCTAATCTCCTGAGACCAAGAACGAATCTAGGCAACTTCAGATTCGCTGTTCTAAAGTGATATGCAAACCAGAGGCAGCATTGTGCGTCGATCGAAACAATCAGTAGTCGGACGGAACACGGTCTGGACTAAAAGGCGGGTGAGACAAAACTTCCCATCCTTGTCTTTCAAAATAGGTTTTAACAGGTATTATTTTGCGACATGTCCTACAAACTATCGCATATTCTGGGCTTTAGCTCGTTCCAAACGAATCGATACAGGTTCTCTGTGATGCATCACCATAGTAATGGTTTGATTTCGGAAGTTGATAATGGATAAGACCCTCTTGGCTCCACCAAATGCAGACCATTATATTAGTAGCATGGATATTTGACTTTAGTTTCGATTCTTTTGGTTGGTCGGGCTTCAGGTTATCGTTATGAGTCCATTTTTCATCATTTTTCTTTTATAGCTTTCAAGCTGCATGTCGGACAAGTAAAATTGTTTTTTATAGTCCCTTGTTTTCAATAAGTTCTTGAAAACGTTTCGAAATTGCTGCTTGAGTAGCCCCCCATGATTTTGAAAGTTCTTGTTGAGTTTAGCAACAATCTTCATGGAAGAATCAGTCCATATCATGGTCTTTAAACTTTTTTTGGCTGACCTGGGTGATTTTTGTCTTTCGTGTCAAAATCGTTACTTCTAAACCTTACAAACTATATCTCGTAAGTTGAAACTAATGAAACACATTCACCATAAGGCTTAGTGATAAGTTGGTCTGCTCCAGGTTTGAAAAATCCGTGAAAATTATGTTAAAAGATTGTGTATTGGACTTGAACTAGATTTGTTCACAGAGAGGACACATTCAACCGATTCAGAACTAATTCAGACCCGGCTATAACTTTATTCATTACAAGTATAGTGAAGGTTATATAGTCTATTTGGCGGTGAAGACTCACCTAAAAAACTACCAATATTTAAATATTTCTTTAATTAAAAATGTTTTTTAATCACTTAAAAGCTTTTTACAAAAAAATTAAAAAAATAAAATAAAAATTTAAAGCCACAGGTTAAAGTTTTCAATATAATTGAAGCATGATTTATAATGTCAGAAACGAAATAAAAGCCAACGAAGAAGAAGATACCAAATGTTAAAGTTAAAAACAAGTAAGAAATTATAGTCGGGCGAGGCCGACCATATAATACCCTACACCTGTTACAAAAATGAAATGTGATTTTGTTTTCATAATAAAGCATTGTAGTTGAATTGTACCATGCCTCAGATATACTTAAGCCATTTATTGTTGAATAAAATTGTGGACATTTAAGTGAAATTTTGAAGGGGGCTTTCTATAGGTGCTATGGTCAAATGAGACCCTATAATTATAAAATTCATGAGAGTCATCAAGGCTAGTATAGCACTTGGTTTTGCAGCTTTTTGTTGAGATACGAGTATATTAAACATAATTATGAATTGAAAAGCTCTATTCGTCGGGTGGGGGCTAGGTGAAATAATAGGCTTTGTCTGCGGTACCATAGAAGATCATGTGCCAAATTTCATTGAATTATCTTCAAAATTGCGACCTGTAGTTTGATTACAAGGTTTACAAGACCTATTCAGGGGTTCAGTTGTTTTGGGGCTAGGTGAAATAATGGACCGATGTTAACCATTTTCAATAGGCTTTGTCTCCGGTGTCATAGAAGATGATGTGCCAAATTTCATTGCATTATCTTCAAAATTGCGACCTGTAGTTTGATTACAAGGTTTACAAGCCCTATTCAGGGGTTCAGTTGTATGGGAGCTAGGTGAAATAATGGACCGATGTTAACCATTTTCAATAGGCTTTGTCTCCGGTGCCATAGAAGATCATGTGCCAAATTTCATTGAATTATCATAAAAATTGCGACCTGTAGTTTGATTACAACGTTTTCAAGCCCTATTCAGGGGTTCAGTTGTATGGGGGCTAGGTGAAATAATGGACCGATCTTAACCATTTTTCAATAGGCTTCGTCCCTGGGACAATAGAAGATCATGTACCAAATTTCATTGAATTATCTTCAAAATTGCGACCTGTAGTTTGATTACAAGCTAAATCGACTCAGAAAATGATTCTAAGCCGATTGGTATACGGGTATAGGACAAATATTATTGGTCGTTACAAACATCAGCAGAAACCCAATATACCCTCCCCACTAAAGTGGTGTAGGGTATAACAAAATATAAAACAAAAAAATTAAAAACGAAAAAAAAAAAAAACGTTTAAATCAAACAAAGTGGTGGTATTGATAAAACAAAGCATTATTTGAGAAAAATAAAAAAGCACGTTTAAAAACCAACCAACTTTTATTGGTCTAGACGGCAAAACCAAAAAATTAAAAAAAAGAATAACACTACAAAAACAAAAAATAGAAGAAAAAAATTACAAAATAGTAAAAATGCTATGAAAACAAAAATCGAACAACCAACAGAGAAACGAGTAAAACAGCTTCCGGCGTTTAGGAAAATTAATCAATTGACTTAATTGTATGGTGGGTTTAAAGGTTAAAATAAAAAAAAAATCAAACCAAACCGAATTATAGCATACCGAAAACATACAACCACAAAAACAACTAAACAATTCAACAATCAATGTTTTAACAAATGTATCTCCCTCTAATGTAGATGCTTGGAACTGCAATGACCAATAATAGATAATTGGAAAAAAATGTTTAAATCAAATCACATAAATCACACTCATCTAACTACATATTTATTGGTTTTTATTGGTGTTTTCTATTTAATTTTATGGAAATTTAATTTATTATTAGATGATTCACTTACAAAATCATTTTTTAATTAAATTCAAAACTATTGACGTTGAAATATGGAATATGTTTCGTTTTATGTTTTTTTTTTCTCTATAATATTTGACACGCACATGACCTCTTTAAAATGGATTAAAGCAAATTAAAGATAGTTTTTTAATGTCTGAATAATTTAAATTATTTTTTTTTATAATTTAGAAATCTTTTAAATGTATATATTTAATTAAAAACAGGTGCTGACCATTTGTTACACGCTATTTTCAATATAGTTTATATTAAAAGTTTGTTTTATGTGTCCGAATCGAACTTTTTAAATTTATTTTAAAAACAAGTAAGTCGGGTATGACCGATTATATGATACCCTTCACCAGTGATTATGTTACAAATTTTGATTATTATTTTTTAATAATAAAGTATTTAATTAATTTTTATCTTAATTCAGGAATATTTTAACAATTTGTTGACAAACAAGAGATTTTCTTAAAGTTATATGGGTGCACGGGGTTAATATGGCCCTATACTTATAAATTTTGGTAGAAGGATTGACGTCTACATCAGTTATTTATGCAGAATATCATCGTGACATTAGTGTTTACAAGTTCATTTTGACCACCAAGTCATTTTCTGAAGGGGACTTTGTATGGGGAATAGTGTCAAATTTTTTTGTGATTTTAACATTTAACATGTTTATGAGCTCAGAAGCCCTATTCGGGGCGTACGGTTGTATGGGGGCTATACGAAATAATGGACGATTTTAACCATTTTCAATAGGCTTCGTCCTTGGGTCAAAAGAAGAGTATGTGCCATATTTCATCAAATTACCTTGAAAATTGCGACCTGTAGAGTGCGCACAAGGTTTACATGGACACACAGGCGGACAAACGGACATATCTAAAACGCTTCAGATTCTGAGCCGATTGGTATACTTTATGGTGGGTGTTACAAACATCAGCCCAAACGCATAATACCCACTATAGTGGTGTAGGGTATAATGATGGGATTTACATTAGGATGTCCCGTGGACCACTTTTTGCAGGGATACGATGTACGAAATACAAAAAATTTTTGAGTACATTTTTGCTACATGAGATTCTTAAAAGGCTGTTCCTCGGTCCTTATTCCGAGTGTCATTATAAGATGATTTAGATGTCTGTCTGTTGAAGGGCCGAAGTTTTCCACAAATATATAAAATTTGCAAAAGTTATAGAAAATATATAGTAAAATATTGCGAAAATCGGGCAAATTTTTATCCCTTGACCCCATATAAGATGGTTAAATAGCTATGCCTGTCCTTAATGCATTCTATGTCGAGCTAACCATGTCTGTCCGTCTGTGTGTTGAAAGCACGTTAGGGTCAAAGCGGACGGTGCTACATGTCTGAAATTTCCTCACTATACTGTAGGTTTGATTTGACCATAGTTTCCATAAAAGTCCTCTTCAGAAAATGATATTTTGGTTCATAATTAGATCAAAAGCGTTTTATATGAACCTAAAACCTATAACTTCTACGTTCTTGAAACAACTATTAATTTACGGTTAAAACTTTAACTGACGATATTTCAGGGCCGTTAATCTTTTAAAAAGTAATAACTGGTCTCTTTGTTGATATCTTCTAAATTACTAAAATAATTTTCTGTCAATTGTCACCAATTAAATTTTTAATTCGTTTAATTAACAACTTTGTTCAAAATTAGTATTGCTTGATCTATCAATCTATATAAATAAAAGAGTAATGTTTGTTCGTATGCGATAAACTCATATTTTTCAGGAATCGTGAGAAGTGTTCTTGTTTAATATTTGTCCAATAGTTGCCGGTGGAGTTTTAAATTTTAGTCAATTACACCTAAATCGCTGAAGCGTAAACTTTAGGGATACATATACCTTTACTAATAGAAAAATATAGTCCAAACTTAGGGTCTGAAATTTTTTTTAAATTTTCTTCAATTCCGACTAACTGAACAGACTTTATTGGTTGTTTTATTATTAATATATGTTATATATAACATATTTTTTTAAATTCTACTGCAATTTCTAACTTCTCTATAAATTTCATTAACACATCTCTAGCAGTAATTTATAAACGATTTGACAAATTTATGTCATCATCTAAATATAAAAATATTGAAATTCAAACAAATTCTAACGAGATCTCCCAAATAAATTCCAAATCATTAACCACACCTATGGTATTATATGGCCAGAAATCCCCTGAAGTACGCACACATTGCCACTATCCCCGTTCCGAGGGTTTGGATGTAAGGGCTCGTAATAAACTTTATTTAGCCAGTGCTATGTGTTTAGTTCTGATGTCGTGTGAAATTATTGGTGGTATACTCTCGAATAGTTTGGCAGTTGCTATGGATGCGGCTCATCTTTGTACCGATTTTGCTAGTTTTATGATAGCTCTCTTTGCTATTTGGATAGCGGGTAGGCCATCGACACAACGTTTAAATTTCGGTTGGTATCGAGCAGAAGTTATTGGTGCCCTATTGTCTGTGCTATTAATATGGTTGCTAACAAGTTGTTTATGTTATTTGGCCATTAAAAGAATTATGTCGGGAACATTTGAAATAGATGCAGTAATAATGATGATTACATCCGGCATAGCGATTTTTGTTAATTTAATAATGAGTCTTATTTTGCATTTAGACATAAAAGGTTGTAATTTTAACACAAAAACTACAATTGTTAAACAAAAATATCGTCCTAAACTATGGGTTTTAAAGGAAAGTGATTCTTTTGTGCCCAATATATGCTCATCAACAGAACATTTTTTATGTGCCTACAAAAATCAAGCCACACAAACTTCTCCTTTTCTAGAGGAGCAACCATTTGTGGAAGTTAAATTAAAGCAAACAAATTTAACAGTTAAAGCTGCTTTCATTAATGCCTTGGGTGACATGATACAAAGTATCGGGGTGTTTTTAGCGGGTCTTATTATATACTTTCAACCCTCTTGGTTAATTGTTGATCCTATATTAACATTTCTTTTTGCCATTATTGTTTTTATCGCCACTCTTGGTATTCTACGAGAAGCTTTGCTGGTGTTAATGGAATCTACACCCAGCTATTTGGATTATAATGAAGTAAAACAATTATTTTTGTCCATTAAAGGAGTACAAAATGTACATAATCTTAGAATATGGGCTTTAAATCTTAATAAAATAGCCTGTTTAGCCCACTTGGAAATAGCGGATAATGTTGAACCTCTAGAGATTTTAAAACAGGCCAATCAGCTGATACACCAGCGTTATCATTTCTTTGAAACCACTATACAAATTGAGTGAGAGATAAATGAAACTTTTCTCAATATTATCAATTGGTTATCTATAAAATTTTAGTATTTTGTTGCACTTTATGACTTTTTTATTACTTATTAAGTGGGTTAAATTTTTGTATTTATAATTATATACATAGATTACAACTAATCTGTAAAATTTATTTGGAAATACATTAAAAATATTCTATAGTGTTTGGTCATTAATGTATTTATTTATTTTATGGCCCTGTTCTGTTATCACTTAACAAATATAGATTTATTAGTTAGTTTATGCTTATTTTGAAAATAATATTGAAAATTGTTTATTAGTTCCAAAATTATTTTCTTAATAAGAAAATCACTTGAATACTTTGGGAAACAATTTGATTTCAACGTTTCATGTAATTATATTTAGATTGTAATAAAGATTTCTAGCGTATTTTGAGTATCATGTGAGTATCTTGACTCTAAGCTATTTATAAATTACAAAAGTTTCGATATAATTGAGAATATCTTAGTCAACATTACCAGAAATACCGTTTAGTCGTTATGCCTTAGAGCTTGTTAATATCTGGGAGTTTAGTGAGGTAGAAGTTCAATTCTTATCGTATGTTAAAATCACCACCATTGACCATTTGTAACTCATTGACATATTAATAGTAATTTCGCAATTGATACTCTGGGTACTTATAATGATCTATGTCGTTCTAGCAATGTCTGTCCTTCCGCCTAAATTTCATATAACTAGAAAGTACTTTTTACTTTTGGGCTTCATAGACCCGCCGCGACTGTTCTTAAAAGTAGTAAGCATGTTCGAATGGAAATATTGGTCAAAGACTTACAATATATCTTTCTAGATTCTAAAGTCTGTCTATCTGTTGAAATCATGTTAGTGTCCATGCGGAAGGAGCTAGATAGCTTAAATTGCTCTATTGCTAAGGTTTGTTTGATATTGAAAATGTACAATATCGTTAACTCAAAGTTAGTAAGGGTTTGCCCTTATTTGAACCATGTCCCCATATAAGGCCCTTTCTGAACTGGGTTAAAAATATATTCTATTACACTACTATTGATACATAATTGACTTTAACTAAACCCTCTTTAAATCAGTTTGTTTAGTATTGAAAATATGCAATATCGGTCTATCAAATGTGCAAGAATATGTCCATATATAAACCATACCGCCCATATTAGGAACTGGAACTGAACTGGGTTAAATGCGCCCATATAATAAGATTAAAGGTTAAAAATACTATTAGACTACTATTACAGTGAGGAAAATATACTAACGAATAAGTTTTTATGAGAATCAAAATCTATCAACTTAATTTAATGGAGATCGGTAGTTGACCCGACCACCCATATAACAAAAATATTGTATTACGACATACATAAGTCTGTCATAAAAGATTTGTTCTAAGCAATTGAACATTCTTTTAAATTGTGTAGAGTTTTTTAAGTCTCCATAATAGGCTCTCTTTCGGAAATAACTCCTCTTAATCCGTATATTTCGGTCAATATTCGGTATGATAATACAATCGTGGTAATAAATAACGAAAGGAGCAATTCACAAATTCCTAAGTCCAATATATGCATATAGTGCCTTCTGATATTCACTTTAGTATATTTATACCCTTCATCTTCTTGAAAAGGGTATTAATGTCGAAGTGCTTTACGTGAACAGCACCGGTAGACCAAAGTACGAATCCATTCGTATCCCTTCTTAGTTCCACTTCTCTGTGGGGTATCTGTTGTCATTCGGCAACAGCACCAGACTTATCCCGATATATAGATTTCACCGTGCCTCAGTCTTTTAACCGCAACGTGCCATTTCCGTGAATTAGGGTTTAAACCGCAGCCACTACGTGGATCCCGAAGGAACCTCAATCAACTGACCAACCAGGACAAGTCCTGCGGGCAACTGGCCACCCGTAGTACCAGATTATGTGGTTCTCTGGTTCGACCCCATGTTAAAACATTCCAAGGACTAGCCGATGAGTAACATGAGATCACCAGTTTATAGTCCATGCAGACTAGGGGTACTGGATACTTATAGATGGCGGAGTCGATTAAGCCATGTTCGTCTGTCTGTCCGTCTGTGTGTCTGTTGAAATCAATTTTCTGAAAACCCCAGATATCTTATTTTGTTTCATACACATTATTTAAAGGCAAAGTTTGTTTATTGTTATTATTTTCCACTTTGTTTTTATTTTTCACTTTTTCGTAGATTTTCAAATTTAAAATTCATGACATGTTTGTTGAGTGTACTTTTCAAATTCATAAGTGTTTTAAAACGGAAGCTTGACATCACAGTTTTAATTCAGACAAAACTGAAAATAATAATTTGCAAAAAAAAGAGACCATCATTTTAAAACTAACTTTATGTTTTATTAATGTGCAACAAAGAAAAAACCTCATATGTATGTAAATTATTGATGGCACTTTGTGTTTTTTTGTTGCTGGTGATGGCGGTGTGGCACCATTATCATCAACAACTCAATGTTTTTAATATGTTATATATTCGTATATAAATGTATGATTTACTTTTTGTTTTACATCCTCTGAAAAGTAAACCATGTATGTTTCTGTATACATCACCTTGTTTACCTCGTAGCAATATTGTGTTTGTGTTTTTTTTTTTTGTGCGAAAAATAAACAAAATGTTAATGAAAATAAAAGTTGTTGTTTCTGTTTTTTTTTTAATTAAATACAAACAAATTATATACTGCTTTTTTAATAAAACAATTGTGTTTATGTTGCATAATTATGTGAATTATTGTTTGGAAAATACATTCGTAATGCTTGTAAATAGTTTATTACCTTGTTAGGTTAATTTTTGTAGAAAACTTTTTTTTTAAATATGTTGCTAATTAAGTTATTAAGAGTAACTAACCATCATGTCATTCATTATTTATTTGATGTGTGTATGTTTTAATAAGTATTTAAGCAGCTATTTAGTTCATTTATAATAGAGAATAATAACAACTAAAATAAAACACAAAGCTACTTTTAAAATAATATGGAAAATGTTTCATCAGCTACAAAATTATTTCCTTAATAGCGATATAATTTGATTTCAAAGATTCAAGAATGTAAAACGGACTTTGTATGGGGGCTAGGTTTAAATGAGTCCCGATCATTACGAAATTATTTAGAATTATTTAGAATTTTCGACTCAGAAAGTGATTCTGAGCCAATTGGTATACTTTAAGGTGGGTGTAGGACCAAACATCAGCACAAACGCATAATACCCTCCCTATTATAGTGATGTAGGGAATAAAAATGTACTCAGTATACACATATACAGATACAAAGACTTTGAGAGCTTGAAACTCAAACCTCACTTTTTCAACTTGAAAATTTTAGTTTCGAGGCTTCAGAAGATTTTCGGTAGAGGCCATTTATGGGGTCTGGACTGTATTCTACAGTACTTGAAAGTGTGATTTTATTACGATTACTGCATATTTAAAATAGTTATGATAGTTTAAACTGAGATTTGTATAAAGTTTATATAAAATAGTGAACTTATTTTGCCCATTATAAATGTTAAAATAATTTCAGACCTTTAGCTCCTACCGTTTTGACCGACTGCCTGCTTTCAACAGACATACAGACAGAAAGACTGATAGATAGATAGATAGATAGATAGATAGATAGATAGATAGATAGATAGATAGATAGATAGATAGATAGATAGATAGATAGATAGATAGATAGATAGATAGATAGATAGATAGATAGATAGATAGATAGATAGATAGATAGATAGATAGATAGATAGATAGATAGATAGATAGATAGATAGATAGATAGATAGATAGATAGATAGATAGATAGATAGATAGATAGATAGATAGATAGATAGATAGATAGATAGATAGATAGATAGATAGATAGATAGATAGATAGATAGATAGGTAGGTAGATAGATATATAGATAGATAGATAGATAGATAGATAGATAGATAGATAGATAGATAGATAGATAGATAGATAGATAGATAGATAGATTGTGCGCTCCTTAACCAGTGCCTCAGGTGGGAATCGAACCCACCACCTCCGGTCTACCAGACTAGAACACTAAACACTAACCTACCGGTTGCGGGTTTAAAACCAATATTTCAGAACTTTTATGTAATAAATTCAACTTCTATTTTGCTTCTTTGGAAGTGCTTTTCCATCTCATTCTTTGGAAGTGCTTTTCTATTTGATTTTACATTTGACTTTACTTTCCCACATTCCCAATTCACTGAAAATCATTTTAAAAATTTCTCATTCTAAAAATGTACATTCAGCCTTCTCCATCATAATATTTAAGAAGACAATTGTTTGACAGCTTTAAATTGACAGCAAACACAATGCAATACGAAGAGAAAGAAAAAAACTAGAAAAATTTGAATTTTTTTTTTATAAACAATTTTATTTTCCTATGCATAAATAGATCGCTGCATGCCATAATAATGCACTTTCATAAATATGAGAAATGCAAACGAATAAACGAACGAAGAAATCATAACAAATCAATCTATAAGTTGTAAGTGCAACAAACATCATGCAGCACTTTAGCGTCAACACAACCATTATCAAGGGATTGAAATGATTGAATATAAACCCACATGCAATGTGCTGTACATTTTCAATATTTTGTATTTATTTATTTTTTTTATTAAAGAAAATTTCCAAGGAAATGTAGTTTCATTTTCTTTTTTTTTAACATAAATACAAAATCAAATTTGATCTGTCAGTCTGTGAGTTCTCAAGGAAATAAAAAAAAAAAATAATGGAAATTTAAGTCATAAACATATGAAGTTTTTCATTTTCCTTTCAATTTCTTGGAAAAATTGTGTGAAATATGGGAAATTACCACATTACAGTTTAAATTATGATGAAATTATTATGTGTATCGGTTTTTATTATTATTTAAGTTATTATATGTTAATGAGCAAAGACTAAGGTAATTGTGTTGAAAATATGGATTAAATTAAATGAATGCTGGTACTTTAGTTTCTTTTTAATCATGACATAGAAAAAAATAAAATTCATAACTGGAATGAATTTTGTAATCAATATGACGTTTTTCAAACCATTTTCATTCAGAATAAGAAAAGTTCATAA